ATACATGTAAGGCCTACGGCAACCTGTTAGCGCCAACTATTTCCTAACGAGCTGTTGCGAATCACGGATATACTAGAGAAAACTCGTAAGACCCTTGCAGGGGTATAGCAAATTAACGTAAATTGACGTGAATCCTATTTCTCCCTACAGCAATATTTTTAAATCTGCACAACAATATCAAAAAATAGTGAACAACCGGCTCAGAAACATTAAGAAAAGTCAAAAAGACGTAGATGACTAATATTCGAGAAAAACTATTAGCACGGAAAAAAAAGTAAACGAAATGCCAACTCAGCTCTAATTGAATCCGGAGTCATAGATTATAGAAGCATAGTATGGGGCTTCTCCAGGAACTCCTTGAAATGTTTCAACCAAACGGCACCAACAGCACCATCAACTGTACGATGATCGCATGATAAAGTAACACGCATGACTCTAGTAGAACGGTATCTGCAAAAAAATTTATTACATTTGCAGAGCACTTTTGATTGACATACCCTTCTTTCTCGCATGGCACTACTTTGTCTTCTGCTCCTCCAACAGCCAAGATGCACGACTGGGGAGGGTTAATGATAGCAGTGAAATCTGTGACACTTCCAAACATGCCCAAGTTTGAAACGGTGAAGGTTCCTCCCTAGAAAAAAAAATAATATAAAGTATTCCCATCAAATTAAAAACCTGGAACTCATGAGGCTGGAGTTTTCCTTCACGTGCACGAGAAGCTAGCTCACTGACTTCGCTAGAAATGGTAGCCAGTCCCTGAAAATGGCAAAAATAAAAATTGATTCAAAGATTTCATTCCATACCTTAGCATGAGCATTGAAGATTATTGGAGTGATCAGTCCTGCTGGAGTTGAAACTGCGACACAAACGTCAACATTATTATTTTGTCTAATGAACGAATCCATGAAGAAACTGTTAGCTTCAGGTACTTTCAAACAGGACAGAGCAGAAGCCTAGGAAGAGAAAATGATGCACGAAGCGAGTTGACTTTGATTACCTTTACTACGAAGTCATTGAGAGAGAGCTTAGTAGAGCCGCCTGCAGCACCCTTAGCCAACATATTGTTGAGTTTTTCGCGAACACTACAAATGTAGGAAAGATATAAATAATGTTAGAAAAAGCCTTACGCAAGGAGACTGTCGAGATTAATCTCACTACTCAGATAATAATGAGGAATTGTAGATTTGCTTTCGGTGAGTCGTTTAGCGATTGTTCGTCTCATGTTGGTAAGTGGAACATCCTTGAAATAAATAAACATCAATCTTGCACAATAGTTATAACATACAACAAAGCTTCCTTCTGGGCTTGAGATAGCAGCAGCAGCAGAAGAGGTCTTGGTTGGAGCATTTGCTAAATCTGAAGCGAGAACGCGACCTCCTGGACCGGAACCAGCAACAGCCTTAAACTTAGTGATTAGAAGAGATACGAACAGAAAATCTTACGGAAAGGTCTAATCCACGTTCAGCAGCCAATTTTTTGGCGAATGGGGAGGCACTAACTCGGTTCAAAGTTGGTGCTAATGGCTTAGCAGCTTGAGGTGCAGAGAAAACGCTTTGAGCAGGAGCTGGTGCAGACTGTATATTATAAACTATTTTTAAATCAATAATAAACAAACTTACAAAAGAAGCAGCGACTGGAGCAGCTTTCTCTTCTTTAGCAGGAGCAGATGTAGAAGATGCAGGAGCTCCACTGTCTTTGAAATCCTTGAAGAGAGCAACATCAGCTTCATTTTCCACAATGATGCAAAGTAGTTTTCCGATTGGGACGTCTTTGGTTCCTTCAGAGATGAGGATTCTAGCCAAATATCCTTCTTCTGGAGTTTCGAAGCCCATTGTGGCTTTGTCGGTTTCGATTTCGCAAAGAAGATCTCCTTCGCTGAGTTGATCTCCTTCTTTCTGAACGATTATTGATTTGAGAAACAGAGAGGAAACGACGAACCTTTTGCCAGGAAACAACAGTTCCTAATTCCATAGTGGGCGAAAGAGCTGGGAGAGGGACACGCGAATGCTTAGGAAGTTCGCTGCTATAGAGTCGAACTCCCTTGATCGCAGCGAAAGGAATATTTACAGTTTTTGGTGGACTTCCAAAAAGAGGAGATAATCTACTTTGAGATACATGTCGACTAAATACAATGATTGAATGAAATGAATGAGCATATATAACCAACCTAGGTTGAACAAGTGGTAAGCTTGCGACGGCAGCAGTCAAGGAAGATTGTCTGAATCCTCCGATGGTACGGAGAGGAAGGCCTCTTGATGGAAATTTGGACATGACTGAAAGTAAGCGATTGAGAAATATTTCGAAATTGGTGATTACTCACTTCGAAGTCTGCTTTGCCACACGAATGTAACAACACAATGTCCCTAAGTTTATGAATACCTGCAAATATGGAGTATTGGATCTTGCTGTGTAGAGAGAGGAAGCTATTAGCAGCAAGAAAAAACGAAACAAAAAAGGTAAAGGAATAATGATTTTCTGCCAGCAGAAACAGTCTCTACTCAAATCAATGCAAAGATAACAAGGTTTTTACCGAGCCATAGCCTGATCAGAACATTTTAAAATTTGTTATCATTTGTTGTTCGATGCAATAGGTGATGTTTCTCCATGTATTCTATGTGCTTTTCATAACTACTACGTATTTAATAAATAATTATACAAAACAAAATAAAGATCAGTTCATTCAACTAGCTAAGAGCGAAACCGCCCGTTTGTTGGCAGTGTGCCAAACGCTACGAGACCCAATCCTTCTTCTATTTAGCCTGGGCGTCTACAGCTTGTCAAAGCCTTAGCTTCTCCATGCAACTTGACGTCAATATTTCGTTGTTTATTCCCAACAAACTCAAAACTACTAGAATTTTCCAGTAGAAAGCGCTCTGATTATGTTTTTTTTTCATTCCGTATCATGGCCAATCGAATGGTAAAGTAAGTTCTCAGATGAGAACTATTAGAATGAGTTGAAAGGAATGAAATGCCGGATCTTTTCTTTGAAAAATTCAACAGTCCCGTCGTTCATGACGACAAAAGGTTTACAATAATACATATACACTTTTCTATTTCTCGAACGAGACAATGAAGCTTCAGAAGACATCAACGATCTAAAATTCACATAGGAATGAGCGTTTTCCGTTGATATGAAATTGAAACTAACTACCCTTTCTTCTCATCATTTCAATTTAAATAGAATACCGTCTGGTCATCACATGCTTTCACTCTATTCTCAAAACAATTGTTTGAGCCACAGATTGAAAGAAACTACTGCAAATCAATAAACGAAATGCAGCTTATTTCAGCACCCACCCAGGCTTCTTCTCGTATTTCTTCTACCTGTTATTACAGAAAAAAAACACCGTGGGATTTCGCAACGTCGGTGGCATTTGTTAGATGAAAATGAAAAAAATAAGCTTTCCAGGACTTTCCAGTTTTGGGAATTCTCATTTTCACGTGGATTATCACGTGAATATCCCGCTCAAACGTTGTGGGCATCATTTCAGTAGAAACACCATGAAGCTATCGTTTATGTAAAACACGATGACGTAATATTTTTCCCGTGAAGGACGTGAATTTCAGCTAGCGTTTCATTTACATTAGGTAGAGCGCATAGAGCGGTTGTTTTTCCTTTCCCAACTTTTATATAGGCGTCTTCGTGGGGATCGCATAGAACATTTTCTTTTTAACAGCCTTTTTAATTATACCCCAAATGCTTGTTTTTTTTACATCAAAAGTAAGAGAAACATCTAGCTAATAAAGTTTTAAAAGGAAGCTGTTCCGGACAATGAAACTGTGAAGAAATCGCTTGAAAAAAAGAAGATGTCGTAGTTCTGATAGTTATTAGAATATACAGGAATCGAACAGCTTCTGAACTGAGACTGTTTAAGATGGACTGAACATTATTTTTTTTTTGATTGAAAAGAAAACACAAAAGATCTTGGATGAAGTACATTGTCTTTCCTGAAAGTGCTGTCACCAATTGCCTCTTTAAGCATTGTTGTCAAGGAGTTTAAGAAAATTTTTCTTACAGTTTTTTGCCCCAGGCAGAAAAAATGATGTGTGTCCTTGGTTTTACTACTGTCCGTTGAAATCTCAAGTGAAATGTCCGACAAACAAATAGACAAACAAAGCAATATTACAACTTCTTGAACGATGCCTATATAAGCTGAATGAAGTTAAGAGACAAACAGTAAAAATGAAATTGTTCTTCTACCTTCTTCTAGCCTTCCTGTTCAGCTTCAAGTACGTTTTCTTCCAAATACGGATATTAACCTATAAATATTTTAAGCCAAGCTCTTGATGTACCTATAGAGCCCAGTGGATATGTATCTGATCCACTTCTATTTGATTCTTTGGATAGACCAGTTGTGAGAGCCAGAAGACATGTAAGTTTCAAACTCTACATCATACATTTCGACCCACTGCTTCAGATACTCCCAAGGAATTAACATCTAAAGGAGAAGTTTTCTCAATCAAGAACCAAGATACTCATATGTGCCATCTTTCACTTCATAGAACTGCTTAGAAAATCAATTTTTGTAAAAACATTTATTTCAATTATCTTTCAGCAAAACAATGTACATATAACGATACTCTCTAATAAACATATCAAGAGAACATCAACAGACTTTATAAAAATTTAAATTTGAAATATAAAAAAAAAATTAAAAAAACAAAGAAAACGAAGTAGATGGCTTAACTATTTCTCGGATTATATACGTGTTTGTGCGACACCCAATTTTAAATGATAAGAGAGAGATCAAGAAAGACTATTAAGCAAATTAAGCTAAATCTCTTGTTCATGTATTCGTGATAGGATATCTGATCAAAGCCGTAACTCAATGAAAGCCACAAATCTTTTTTGTTTGTATGTTTATATATAAATATAAATATATTAAGAAAAAAAAATTGTCGTTCTTCTAAAAATTAAAACTACTTTTGGCACAAACATCACGTACACCCGTGTCCGTTCATCGTCAAGCACATCTACTATGAAATTGTGTGAGAATTTACAGATATAAGAGAAAATTTTAAAATAAACACGAAAATGCCTAAAATGGATGGTAAAGTCTCACACAATTTCAGCTTTCGAAGACAAAAAATTGAAAAAAATGATTGAAAAACTAAATGATGATACTATGAAGACATTATGAATGAAAAACCGGAAGTATAAGAGTGAAACCCCAATTGTATATACATGCAAACCCGAGATATAAAGGAGAATATGAAGATATAGACATTTGTTTCCCGTGGTTGCTTGTCTCAGAGTCAAGACTTCAAAAATGAACAAAAAAAACATGGAAGAAGGAGGAATAGAAGAACGTATTTTGACTAACGTTATTGAACTAATTTGATACAGAAACTTGGATGATGGAAATGATTATAACTTGATTAGAGGATATCTAGTTAGCTATCCATTTCATACGACACACGTCTTAATGACGATGCTTAGGACATAATCCTGACATATGTAAGAATTCCTGTGACATCAAATGAGGAACTAAATCGTCAGCAATAGAGAAGAAAAGCGATCCTACACCATCCAATTGCATTGTTTCTGTGCTTCTTAGCACTTTACTGAAGATAAGCAGATTATGAATCCATATCATTATATTGTCTATGCGTACCTGTTATTCATTAAGGTGTAAACGGAAAACGTCCATAAGCCATGACCACATCCTGTTTGGGAAGGTAAAAAGGCTTTAGACTCCTCTTTCTAAAGTAAATCATAATAGTAAAGAGTAGAATAGAAATTTGTGCTTACCCCGTTGAACTCGAGAATTCCGACTTCTCCAGTTGGTGTTTTGATTATCACATGGCATTCAATGGAAGTAAGTGATAGAAAATCAATCTCAATCTGAAAAATATGAGAATGAATAAATATATGGAAAAAAAACAATATAGTTATAAATACTATTATAAAGTATATGGATTATAGTTAGAAAGAGAGAGAGAGGAGTTGTTTGATGATCGGAAAACTACGCGGACAGTGCCTGTCTACACAAATGTGCTTCTATTTTTGGCAGAAAAAAGGAAAAGAAAACTTCAAATGTGTATCAGAAATGCAGTGTCAGAGGATCATAGATGAGCAACAAATCCAAGCAAATATTTAAAATACAAAAATTTAAAGTTATCATGTCCTTTTTATGATAAATTGTGCGCATGAAGTAGTCAAAATGAAGAACATGATGATCAGTATGATGATGATGATGATAGAATACGCGACAGAAGAAAAGATGACAATAGTAATTGATGAACAATAGCAACATGCACTTGCGAGCACACACTTTGGATTTAGTAAGCTTCTACTTCTTCTTCAGCTTACAACTGTCATCAACAACATTCAGTTTTGAGCTTTTTGTGGTACTTTCAAATGAGAAACAACTCAACGAACCATAATCATGAACTACTAGATAAACGAACACATGTAGTGAAGAAATAAAAAAAAAGAGAAAAGAAGGGAGAGAGGCAAATGAAAACAAACAATACGTCACTCTTATTCATTTCTAAATTCAGAGATCTACCGGGCAGGATAGAATCTCAGAAACAAATGATTCAATTAGACTTCCAGAAAGAAAAAAAAATGAAAAGAATCGCATTAGATGGATGCACACAAACTCTATGAAAAGAGCAAAAATTCAAGCTTTAAAGCCAATTTCATTAGAAAATGAACTAAAAATATTTTTTTTCCCCACAATCACACCCACCGCCTCGTTTTTCTGCCCCAAAGAGTTTTTGGTATTCATAGAAAGTTTACATGGACATGAACTGAAAGTAGCGAACGATCGCAAATCAAAGTTCTGTATCAATCAGTCTCATTTCGGGTTGTCAAAGGGATTCGGGAGACAAAAAAAAATTAATTTTCGAAACTTCAAAAGGTTCAAGTACTAGTATTAGTATGTGCCAAGCAAATATACTGATTTAACCAGTTTTCCTAGAATCTAATATGATGTCAGTGTCCGGAAACACAGAAACATCGAATTTGACCTGATTTGTGATTGTAAAGATAAAAATATAATTTAATTCCTTTCTTTTGACTTCCTCTTTCACAAAGTTGTTTTTGTAAAAATTGCTTAAGCATTGTTTGTTCCGACGACCAGTCAGCAGGGCAATTCAATCAGAATTTGAATAAAATTCCACGTGAATTACGTGAGTACACGTGTAGCCCGTTTAACGGAAAATGAAAAGTTTATTTTCATTTTTAGCGGAAGCTGAGGGCGGTTGAGTTGCAAGCTGTGTTTGTGTGTGTGTGAATGAGATAGAGACTCAATGTGCTATTTGCCATATATGCTGGTAAATAGGAAACTCTTTTTTTCATTTTGGAAATGATGTGATGACGTTGGATGTGGTAGAAACTAGATCCGAGCCATAAGAGATAGACAGATGAGAAGTCAAAAATAAACAAAAAACGTCAAAATTATATGAATTGAAAAAGAACATGGTTGGAGTGAAAGATTGAGACCAAGAAGGAGCAAGGTACAAAATATTCCCCCCCCCTTATAAGGAAGGAACAGAGGGAATCTAAAAAAGACTTTTTGATACATGTGGGATGATGACAGTAAAATCATGTGACTCATGTGATTGATATGACAAAAATAGAAGAATGGAGTTCGAAATAAACATTTTTCGGTTAGGCATGAAGAGCGACAGAAGAAGATGATAAACGGTTGAGACGGTTATAGTTAGAGAAAAAACAGGTTGGAGAAAAAGCTCTGAATCTGCTCAACGAACTCATAGGTTAAATGACGTCAACTATGATGTGATCATGCTTTGAAGTAAATAGAGTTGAAGATTAAAAAGCAGAAAGAAGAGGAGAAGAAAAAGAGAAAGTTGTTGATTCAGACGAGAACGAACTTGTTAGTCAAAAATGAGTAAAATGAGATGAAATTTCGTTTGAGAACATCAAAAGTTCTCTAAAAGAGAGAGAGAGAGCAACACGAGAGTGTTAGGCTTACAGAGAGAGAGGAAGAGGGTAGAAGAGACAAAATGGAGATAGTGATTGAAGGATTTGATGACGTCTTCATCTTTACATTCTATCATAGATCATATTTCTATTTTCAGTTGGACACTTCTTTAAAAGTTATCTGGTTTTTTTTGTTCGCAGCCACCAAACAAGAAACTTTCTATCAGAAAAAAAATGTACAAGCGATCACGTCAAAATCAGTTTTGTCGTCAGAAATGATTCATGATTGAGGGGAATGATGAGTCAAACGAAAAACGAATTAGTTTCTCCTTCCTTCCCCCGTGTTACCCCCCCTCCTCACAGATGACTCAACTTCATCGAAAGTTAATCGAATGGAAAAGCTTCTCATTAATTTCTGATTCTTCTTCATCTCATATTTCTTTTCGTGCCGTTCTCAGAATATTGTTTCTTCAATTTTCAATTTGAGATTAAATATTTTCCAAAATCAAATTATTCGAACGAATGAAAATGAATTGACTCGAAAATGCTTGAGGGCAAATAACAGATTGATCTTTCACAACCACAACGTCATGCGATAATCTAATCAAATGATTTCAGATCAGTAAAACCAAGCCTTTTCTTGCTAAGTTTAAAAAGATAATTTCTGTGGAAGGACGAGACAAGTCAGAACAGACTCTATAGATCTTAGACATGAAGAGAGCGAAGAGAGTGTGTGTGGAAGAGCATGAAGAGAGAACTATAAGATTGATTTAGAACAATTATAGCATTGAATAATAAAAATGATGATAAGAAGACAAAAATAAATGGAAATAAAAAATTTCACACCTGAGTGGCATCAGCAGAACACAGATCCTGGTTGGATATTTGAGAAAGATTAGAAGAGTTTCGACGTAAGCCCATAGGTAGACCGCCAAGGGATGGTTGTCTTGTTAGGGCCTGGAACAGAACCAAAGAATAAGAAACAGAAGGAATCTTGTTGTAGGTATTGGAATCAGATTTTTTCGTTGTTTTTAGCACACAAGAAGGAACTGATGGTGTTGGGATGGAAAAAGACAAGGATAGTACCTTTCCATTGAACTCAGTATGGCATGAGCTGGAGGCAAAAGTGTCCGAGCAATAGCTTGGCTTAGAAGATTGTAAAATGAACATCTGAAAAAATTCGGAGATTTTTAAGATTATAATAAGAACAGCAAGAGAAATGAAGAAAATCAGAAAAAGAAATATCTTTGCAGAACGAATATTTATGTAGGAGAAAAGAGGCGTGTCCGGATGATAAGATGTGCAAAGGAGAAAAAGCCGGAGCCGAAATCTGTGTGTCGGGTGACATGTTCGAAACGGTAAAAGATATCAAAGTGATAAATGAGTGAATAATTGGGTAAAAGGTTCGAAGAATTTTGAGAATGCTGAATGATTGCGAAAGATCAGTTGAAGAAGAGAAAAACGAGTGAGATGAGAAAGACCTGACGAAGCTTTCTACGCTCAGCAATCCTACCTTATATAGTCTACGAAATTATGTAAAGGGGAGAAAGGTCATTGGAACTTTGAAGGAAAACGAATAGGTACAAGGGAAGTCGATCTGGTGCTTGTCTAGAACAAGCACTGAGCTGGACAATGGGCGGAGTTATAAGGGTGGAAAAGAGGGGAGGGGAGGGCAGCAAGAGAAAGAGAGGAAACGAAGTGGGTGGGAACATACGGAAAGTAAAGAACGACAAAAAAGACAGAGAAATGACAAAATAAAAAGAAAAAAAACATTAGTGCTTATATGAGAGAGATAAATGAAGTGAGGGAGGAAATTGGAATGAAGTAAAGCTCAAAAATAAAAGAAAAGTTCAAAAAGAATTAGAATAAGAAAAAAAATAGCCTGACGATACACAAAAACGATGATGCACGAGAAATTCTGTTGTCTATCTGAAACAGAATTCAATTGACTATCGTTCTCAGAATGCGACACATCAAAGAACGTAGTTCAGATTCAGAAAACAACATCACAAAACGAGAATGAGGACAAAGCCAAACATAGAAACAACTATACTCTCTAATAACCTCCGATAAAACTTTCACACACATTTTCATTTCGTGTGATTCGTTTGGAACAGATAAGAGACTACTAATTTGCATAAAAGGAAAAGTAAGAGAATGAAACCTATTCAGAAATTGAATTCATCGTCATCTGACGTCAAATCGTGGAGTAGTAACAAAGAATGAAGCTAATATACGAAAAAATTAATTTGTCAAGGGAGGGGGAGAAGGAAATCAAATGAGTTGTGAGGTGAAAGCATTCCCGAAAATGAAAATTAAGAGAAAACGAGACTGAAAGATTAGTGGTTCATCTAGTTATTTATATAGAAATTTTCGTGTCAGAAGGTTTGGCAGGGAAAGTACAGATGGAGAGAAAGTTGGTCAGTCAGGTGCTGTTCCTTCGATAGTCGCATGTGTCCAGTCGAGTGATATGATGTGAGGGAAGACCAAGTGATTAATGGACAAACACATACATATGCTGAACTTTGATATAACTTGGGAACTAACTGTAAACAGAACAAGTCGACTATAATAAGACACAGTGTATAGGAAGTACTCGTATGTGACAAAAAAATGTTATTTTATTCAGTTTTTTTGTGTCTCGTCGTCTTCGGGTGTATTTGACGATCACAAATGAACAGCACCGTTGAGGAGAGACAAGAGGCGAGGAGTATGAGAAGGAGGAGGAGAAGGAGAAAAGTAGAACAAAAAATGACAATGGAAGTGAAAAGAAACAAAAAACAAACAAAACTTAACAGATCAACAACAAGCAGTAGACCAGAGACCCGATAGAACGAAGAACTTTGATATTTTTCAAATAAAATAGTTGTTGTTTACCGGTATGCCCCATAGATGTTGGGTTTCCGCGTTCGTTTGTTTCTTCTTTTCTTCTCTATCTCTCTATCAATCGCAAGATCTCTCCCTCATTCTCATTGTGTGTGTGTATGTGTTACTCTGGTTAGCAACAAACTATTATTTTATATTGTCGGCTTCCATGTGTTTCTGTTGCTCTGTTGTTGTCTCAAATACAAAATGAGCAAAAAACCTATGAATTGCTCTCGTCACAGAGTACAAAGAACGAAGAAAAACAAAAACAAAAACAATTCAAATGGCCAAAATTAATCATTTAGAAATGTATTTCTATTTTATTTTTTTCCGAGAAACGAAGATAGAAAGCAACTAAGCGTTATGTAAGTCAAAAATCAACAATTTCACGAAAATGGCTGCGGTCGGCTTATTGTTGGCGAAAAATCAAAAATTGAATTGAAACTCTTTTGATAAAGAGAGGGTTTGTGATTTAGAAGAAACACATACAACACAGACACACATACACAAAACATCTGATAGGAGGAAAGAGCACAAGCGAAAATATGAAAAGTTGTGTTCAATTGCTAGGCACGAGAGTGATCTTCGCCAAAAGCTGGTGACTGTCATTTGCTGCGGCGGCGGCGCCAGCAGCAGGCAGACAGCAGCAGCAACGATGGCGGCAAAGTTCAAAACGATTTTAAAGATAAAACAGTAATATTTCCAAATTTAGAAATTGTTAAATTCAATCAGTAATTTGAACTTTTAATGTATGATAAGATAAAATTCGAGAAATTCCATGAAGACGAAAAAAGAAGGAGTGGAGGAGAGACAGGCAGAACGGGACTGATAGCATTTGAAAGAAAATTTTTATTTGCAATAAAAAGAAAAAAAAACTAAATGGAAATGCGTACAATCAGAAAGAATGTGAGTGTACCTCTTAACATTCTCCGAACGCTATAATCTTATAGCAGAGATACTGAGAATGAGTACGAAGAATCAAAGGGTAAAAAATGATTTACATAGAGCTTGACGACGAAACGCCAGTTTCGTACTCAAAGTATCAGAGATGAAAGCAAGTATTGTAAATATTATAAGAGAAAGAGAATAAGAGGGGAGTATGTATGTGGTGTGGTGTTGGGTGGGGGGTTGGTGAGCAGTGGGAGAAAGGATAAAGCTCTTCATATGGTTCTTAAAATCGCTTAAATGGAAACGAGAGAAATACTGAGATGCGGGCCGAGAAAGAACCAAACATCCGCTTGATTTTTAATTTGTCTGTCTGGTTGAGAAACTCTTCTTGTTCTTTTAAATCAACTCTCTTTTTCGGCTTTTCATCACTCTCTCTTCACTCTGTTATGCTTCTTTAATCTCTCATTTGCTCACGTGTTGCAGCTTTTTTTATTCATATCCCGTCAACATCAACACAATCACATCAAAAATCGAAGCTCTCTCTCTGTTGTCCTTATTCGGCAACTGTTTCTCTAACTCTACATCTTCAACATAAGTCCAACTATAGTCTCTATAGCGTTTGATTTTTTTGGGTTTTTGCCAAATCAAACAGATTCAAACGACTCAAAAATAACAGCGAGAGGAAACAGTTAGAAAGAAAAAGAAAATCGTCGTCCCATCAGATAATTTTCATAATCATTTTTAAAATTTTTATTTTTCATCTTCAAAAAACAGTCCAAGAGAACTTGTTAGTCATTCACTTTCATTACTCCAATGGAACACCTACTTCATGAAATATCTTCCAACTTTAACATTTTGCAGAAGAAGACAAAATAAGAAATGAAAAAGAAGAAAAAAAAAGGAAAAACTTCTGCAGCTGCGGACAGCCACGATCACAAGCATCACATTTCCATTACGTTAGCTTAAATTGTGTTTTGAACATTTCACGTACGTCACGTGAATGACGTAAAAGGAACGCCAGATGGAAGATGAATATCATTTTGTTGATTTGTAGAGGCGGAGATCGGTTGTGCATCAAAGTACATACAATTTGTTGAAGAACTACAGATTGGCTAACATAGTAGTAAGAGACGAGAAACATAGAGATAGAGGGTGGCAAGCAGAGAGAGACACAGAATGAACGAGGGGAAGCCCTATTATTGCTTAGCGAAAGTGGTCTCTCCGTCTAAGCTATGACAGAGATCACATTTGAGGCTTTTCAAAGAGTTTTATCTTCTTTTTAAAGATTTTTTTTTCGCTACAATTTCACGCACTCTCTATCCAAGTCAGATTACAAGGACGACACCAAGCCTGTGGACAGGGATTTCATCTAATTTTTCCATTAATTTAATTTAAATTTTTTCTGAGACTTACCTGAGAGCAAACAAAAGAATTTTCGTCTTTCAGATAGTGCCCCAGAGGTTCTTTCAATATATAATCTTTCATTAGAAATAGCAATTGACTAATAGTATTCTCAACAACTCTTATATAAATTGCAAAAAATATATATAAAAGTGTGAAAAGTGTAGAAGAGGGAGAGAGCTGTTCCTAGAAACTGACCATAATTGTAGAAATGCAATGGGAACGCGCAGATTGAAGAAACAAAAAAAATGTGTGAAAGTTATTTGGAAAATTTGAATTTCGAACACAAGAATGAAAAAAGAGAGAGAGAGAGAGAGAAAGAGGAAAAATTCTTTTATATAGCGATTGAGAAAGGTCTTTCTATGAGCTATAGTGAATATCCGGTGTGAGAATGGAATGGCAAAAGACGGAACACAAAGAGGTTGCTCTCGCAACACTGTTCGTCAAATGCGATGATCCGGTTTGTGGGTGAAGATGAGGAAATATGAAAAGCAGTTCTTCGTTTAGAGTTAGGTTGAGGACAAAGTTCAAGAATATGTTGAGCAAACTGAGAACATTTGAATGATTTAATATATAGATAAGACTAAAAGCTGTATGTGTATGTGTGTGTGTTATCGAACAAACACAATTCAAGTCACTAAGAAATCAGAAAACAATGACAAGTTCAAGCTGCAAATTAAGCAAACGACGTTTTGATCGACAAAAAATATCTCTTGTCATTTGCAATGTTCTTACTCTTTCTCTTTATTTGACAATTTGCAGAAAGAACATAAAAAAAAGGGCTTGAAGATGGGGTCGCTCGGGTCGGGTCGGAGGGAACGGCGCATGGGGAGAGAAGAACGGAAAAGTTCATTGAAGTCAATGATGAAAAATGGATGAAGCTGGCAAAAGAGTTCTATCAGTGATTCTATCGGGCATGTCCTTAACGACGAAACGCCCGATGGCAGGGCAGATGGAGTACAAAAGTTTCATAGACAGCAAACCTTATATAGAGAAACGACATTTCGAGAACATCA